ACGATAAACTATAACACAGAGATTTACCTCTATACTATTCAAATAATTGCCGATTCTTGAGTGCCAATTGGAACATTAAGATCTCGCTTCCGCTCGTTCGACGACGCAGCTTCACATCGTTGCGGAACACCTTCACGCTGCCGCAACGATGCATCTTCAAGCCGTCGCAACAGTACATACCATCCTGCATTAAGATAATAAGCGATCCTAAATGTAAATGCAACTATGAAATCGAAGACATCAATCATATGATTTGGCAATGCAGGCTCTACGACAGTTCAAGGATGAAGCTAATTAAGAAGCTCAAATATAAAACTGTCTCCCACTTAATGTTGAATCGCTTTTTGCGGAACCTAATATCGCAGCTTATCTATGTATTTTTGATTTCTTAAAAGAATGTAAACTGCGGATACAATGTACACGTAAACTGTATTATACATACTACTGTATGCGAAAGGCAATGCGAAATCTTCGCTATATCGTGTAATTAATCTTTTATTTTCTATGCATACTCGAAGAATATGTTGACAGGAACCCCGTAATTAAATACCAAGGTAATTGTTACGTTCACTTTTCTGGGGAAATTGTGAACCGGAGTGTCTATTATGAATTGTTTTCGAGTACAACTCGACACTACTTGAACATAGGACGAGAACACTTAGTAAAAAGTATCGCGAGGTCTAACCAAGACTCGTTAGGCAGTTACGCGTGATCGTTATCTCCGGATTCAAACTATTGGGTTGTCGAGAAAGTCATGACGTATTTTTTTTTGATTTTTCAAATGTTATTTATTTATATAAAGAACAAAGATCAATCAATGATATATAGTCCGTTTTGTTCGATAACCTTTCGCCACCGTTCAGTGAGTTTCATAATTCCTCGTTTATAGAAGGACCTGTCTTTATCGGGGAAAAACTGACTAAGGTGCTGATTAACAGCCTCATCGGAATCGAACGTTATATCACGCAAAGAAGCTTGAAGAGCGCGAAACAAATGGAAGTCCGATGGCGCAAGATCTGGCGAGTATGGTGGGTGTGGTAACACATCCCATCCAAACTCCAGTAATTTTTTAATTATTGCTTTGATTTTGTCATCATCATCCGCGATGGGTCTCCCTGACCGAGGACCATCGTTGAGATTAAAATCACCAGCACGGAATTTCGTGAACCATCGTTGGCACTGACGTTCTTGTAAAGCATTGTCACCGTAAACTCTACGCAACTTTTCGCAAGCTTGACTTGCGTTCTTCCCTTTATGGAAGTAAAACAATAGAATATAGCGAAAATGCACAGTTTGATCTTCCATTTTCAATTTATCGTGAAATTTTCCAAACTCAACCAAATCGATCAGTCTTTTGTTTAGTACGAAGCTAGAGTCCTTAGTTGTCAAATGACAGCAATCACGTGATTGCAACTGACTCTAGTACTGCCAAAAGTAAACTACTGCCACGTGTTGCAGAAATGCGTCACGACTTTTCCGACAACCTAATATTTCGTCTAGTTGTGCGGTTAGAAATGTTTCCGAGAAAGAGAGGCTCCAGTTCCAGTCTCCAACGATAGCGTAGGTTCGCAAAGCTACATTTGAATTGCATCTTGCAATGGTTATGCTCGGTACTCGGGGCTCCCTACCTGGAAGAGGCGCGGCCAGTGGGGGGTCGGTGAGCAAAGTTCAAAAGAGAGGAAAGAGGCCGCGAGGTAGAGAAGGAGGAGGTCGAAGGTGGCGATATCACGAAGGAGCAAAATCGCGGAGGTGGGGCGAACGATCCACGATGCGGGAGAGCCCCACCTCCCCACCTCCCCACCTCCCCACCTGCTCGCCCAATCGTAAGCTCCGCCTCCAGAAACTCGCGTGACGTCACACAGACACTTGTTACGCCTTGCTGAAACACTGGAACGCCACGCCGCCGCCGCACCACGCCGCCGCCGCACCGCGCCGCGCCGCTTGGACCTCGTCAGGGTGGAAGAATTACTTCCCGAACACCCTGGATCACCTTCGACGTGTCCTGTGACCTGTAACCTGGAACATACAACGTGGAACCCTTCTTTCGTAAACCTGGCCAAACGAAACTTACGAATTTAAAATTCTTACGAATATCAGGATACGATATCCACGGATGTGCGAAATTTGTCAAGCTGCCTCGCAGAGGATCCTTCGAGGGAATGGCTGCGGTTAGTGACGACCAAGAAGAACGTACGGAGAAACGTAACGAAACATTCGATTACGATTCAAGTTTTCTCATCCACTCGACGTAAACGTCCACTTAAATTCAATGTTAATTAGATATTCCTATATTTGCAAACATTTTTTTTTGTCTACTAGTAACCATTTTGAAAGCGACACGATTACGATATCGCGGGTGCTGAAAGATTGGCGTGCCTTGTGAAATAACGCGATAACACATGGAATTTCGACGATACTACTTCCTCCTTATCGGTGTAACAACTAGCCGGAAGATTATGCGGAGAAACGACTAATTATCGTCGATTAATTCCTGCTATTCGTCGCTCGACTTCAACGGGCAAATATGCAGATCATATATTTTATGTAAATTTGTCGGGAATGATCGGATGGATCTTGTTTCGAATCATCGCGGGAGACGGTTTCTTCGTATTCTACGAATCAATTTACCGGTAGCCGTTGATCCTCGTAAGCGTTGGATTAAGGTTTCGAAAAAACAATTGAAAACGCTGGTGAACTATACGGATAGATATTGCTACTTCAAATTTATTAAATCTTTCGTTTGTTCGAGACACAATTTTCTTTTACAATCCAAGTTCTATTTGAAATTAGTCGATGAGCGGGATAAAAAACACCTCGCAAAATTTTTACATTTTATTCGGTATTTTTAAGATAAAAATTGTAGATAAAAATTGCTCGTTTTTCATCCTGAAACGAATAGCCCCGAAACGAAAACCTATGTTTCGCATCGGCCCTGTTCATTTTACGAGTACACTGCGATGACACACAGGAATTTCCGCAAAACGATGTATAACGTGGCGTGCTACGTTTACGTGTACCTTTCACATTGTTCGAACGGCCTTCGATACATTTTATTCTTCGGAAATATGCTAGAATTATACTGAATTTTTTCTTACACTTGATACGCGTTAACTTATTAACATCTTCAGTTTGTATGCGTTTTCAATTTATTGTTCTGTTTCCTCGTTATCGACAGTGGGACAATGTACGCGTACGTTAGAACGATAAGTTACAATTTCGATGCTTGAGTTTCGTTTCGGAGCGCCAAGTTCTACGACACCTTAACAAATGCTTTCGTCTGTTTCACAAAAAGAAAAACTACCGACTTGGATAATATCCCATCGACAAATATCAAATCTTTGTATTTGAATAAAAAAAAAAAATGTCAGGTCACCGACAGTTGTAACAATTTTTTCAGGCGTAACGACGCGAGGTCTAGCCGAAGCCAAAACGTCGATAGGTAGACATCAGACTAATCAATCCACAACATATACTATTACTTTCGTACAACAAGTTGGTAAATAAATAACTACGCCAAAAATATATTTACAATATCATACGTTATTCGTAATTAAAGATCGTAATCATCGAGTTTCGATAGCTTGCATTCTAACCTGTGTTGTAATTATAAACTTATCGCAAAGGATACAGAAATCTCTTTCCAAATCAGAAATCACGTACGTTACAAATTGACTTTATTTCTCTTGATTCTTATTCTTACTCTTGTTCTTATTCTGCCGTTGCTCGGCATTTCACTTGTTTATCTACACACTTTCTCCCTCTCTCTCGTCCACACTCGTCTTATTCGCTCAATTTCACATTCGTACAATGCGCGGCTAATTTAAACAGTCTACACCAGTATCTTGTATCGTGGCACTGGATCCAATAGCGATAAATTAATTTGAAATTTATTCGACGGATGGTAGAGGAACGTTGGCGACGCGATTGACCGGTATTACGATTGGTCCCGCTTTCTCCCACCAGCAATTGTAGCGTCCCGCGTATTTTTAAAGAAACGGAAAATATCCAAGTTCGAGATCGTGTTCTCGTGCGAATTGAAAACTCTGCGGAACGTTTACGTTTTCGCGTTAATATTGTTGCGAGCACCCATTGGATGGATCCAAGCCTGTTGGTGCTCGCGACCGGAACAAGAAGACAGCCAGAAGAAGGCGATCTGATCGATCGCCTGTCAAGCTGTCAGATTCGAACAAGACGCCATTGAGTGCTGACGTTCCGAAACAAATAGCACATTTAATTACCTTTGTTGACATTTGTATTGTACACACCCTGTTATATATTAAAATTACTCGTTAATTCTTAAAGTTCTCGTTATGTCAAACATAAAACATAACAATATGTATAACTATTATATGGGCTCCCCGACTCTCCAGACATATTGATATACTGGAAAGCAATCAAAGGAGATTCTTACGTTTTCTCTCAAATAAAACTTCCTCTCCTATGAGTCGACTTGATCATAACTACAGTACCATCATGTACAGATTCAGGGTACTCGAACTCAGGGACAGACGCACAATACATGAAATTCTTTTTATTCAGAAGCTTCTCACTAATATAATTGATTGTGCACCTCTTCTTGGACTTGTACCCTTTCACATTTTTCTCAGGACCATCAGGTCCTCATATTTATTTCATCAATATGTTTCCTCTTCTAAATACTGTCACCTCAATACTACAGTTAATGGTTTTAGTTCAGATAGCGACATGTCTATTGACTCTATCGACTCTACGAAACATAGGTTACATAATCTTTTTTATCGGTAATTCTGCGATTCACCGGCGTTAACTTCGTTACGATTGTTGTGAAAATTTTTGTTTGTTTTGACATCTGTCAACTGTCGTTGTTTATATTTGTTATACGTAACAATTTCATAATGGGCCCGTATATATTGAAATAAGTAATTAAATAAAATAAATAACTATTAGCTACCAGTCGAATAAATATCGATTCGCGAAGGACATTGATTGCGAGGAGCGAATAAGTTCGCGATCGGGGGGCGGGCGATCCGACGCCGACGTCAGTGGGGATACGCGATCGTCGCCACGGGGGCCGCGGGCGGGAGGGCACTAGGAACGGAGGGGGGAGGCTCAGAATTGCGAGCTTAGGCCGTCCCGGGACGCTTACGCGGAACACGCGGACACGGCTGAACTCGCGCCACCGCGCCGGCATTACGTCGCGCACCGTCGACCGCGACTGACGTTCGCGTGGACGTTCCTCGATTCTCGATCGACTTCCACTCGACCTATCACCGCGACCACCGGATGCGAGTATTCGCGCCTGCAAGGTATCGCGACACAGCCTCCGTCGCACAGTGAAAGCCCCGACGAGTGTACGAGTGTACCAGTGTGCGAGTGTACGGTCAAGCTTCCGAATCGAAAAGTTACCCGTTCAACAACCTGTAGGAATCTTGCGCACTCCGCTAAAAACGTGCCATTACGTCCTCGCTATCGGTGACTCGGAGATTAATGATAGGAACTCAACAGTGACATTATCGCGACCGAACTGTTTGGTCGAATCGATTTTTTATTGATGATCGTTAAGGAACCGTGTGGAGTGTCGTTAATCTTGGTTACCTCGGCTTCGTAATCTCAAAGTTTATCCGCGCCTTGTGCAGCTTCGAGAAAATCATCGCTCGATTGAAAATTGTTGATACACATGCGTACGAGTATATGTGAGCATCGATCAAGCGTCGTCTAGATCAGCGACACCTCGTAGCGTGTAGAAGTTTTCTGTTTGAACGTTGCATCGATATCGCTAGCGGAAGGCATGGCGTTGGCGGGAAACCGGTAGAATGATCCTAGGTCCGCGATGGAACTGGGAGAAACGTCTGGAATGGTGCGAATGTAGAAAATGTCATCGCGGATGCGATGACGGATCGTTGGTCTAACGAAGAGAAAGGGAAAAGGAAAAATTAACTGGTGGACGAAAGGAAGGTGGTAGCGGGGGTGTTCGGAGGATTTGGCGAGCGTGTACGCGCAGAGGCGGCAAGTGAAATCACGACGTTCTGCTCGGAAGGTGCGTGCTTTGGCGACGAGGGGCGGCTACTGGCCGATGGGATGCATCTACCGGTGGGTTCCGTGGGCTGCGGGGAGAATTACGCCACCGTTGGATCCCACGAAGGCGCCGGCCCCTGCGGCCCCTCACTGGCGCCGCTTCAGGGGGTGAACACCAGGTACCAACAGGCTGACGACGCCGACGCCGGGGGTGGTGGAGGCGAGATGAGCGAAGGTGCCGCCGTCGGCGAGCTCTGGTGGACCGAGAGGCTCGTCGGCGAGGCACAGGCCGAACACCCTGGCGAACTCGTTCGAACAGGTTCGTTTCACCCTTTTTTTATTTTATTTTTCAAACAATTGTCCTGCGATGTTGTTGTTTTAAAGTTGCACGATAAGAAAAGGGATGAACGTACATGTCCTTGCAAAAGTAATAAGCGTATTAAGCGACAAGTTGCCTCCGCGCGCTTGACAGATTTCCGCGAAACTACCCCTTTCTGTTTTACTTTTCAACCTATAGAAAAACACTTGGAACAAACCCGAAGATATACATATTGTACATATTTGAAACCTTCGATCGTGACTTAACCGTTAATCATTTGAAATATCGTATACTTTCGATCGGAGCGCTCTTCGTGGACGGCCGCGACGTGTAATTACGTAGTGTCTGCGACCAATGAAGACGGAGTACATTTTTACTAAGTTACAACTGTGATTCTTTTATCTCAAGTTAACATATATTTGTGTTAACTTATTTTATATATGATTGCCGAACAAAAAAAATGAAAACTGAAAAATAATAAAAACAACCATATATTTTCAGTTGGACGCACATGTGCGTCATCCGCAGCGAAAGTGTTAACTTAAAAATGTATTAAACGTTAAAGGATGTTTTTAATTAATATATAGTTTATCGGCAATCGATTACTTATCTACGTTTTTTTTTCTTGAAATGAGTTTTAATGAATTTATCGTCTACGGCTATTCGACGTCGCGTATGGATTTATCGTTCGTTACCGTTGATTATGATCCGCTACTATTTATTTTCTATGAATTTCTTTTCCACGATATTAACAATCGAACCACTAATTATTTGTCTTTCGATTATTTATCATTTGTATTGCGAATAGATATATTTCCCTTGGTTTTCATTTTCCATGTATGTGGTAATATGGACTGGTATTTTCTTTGAAAGAACTCGACTTGTATTTAGTTCCTAACAGGTATTACATATACGAGTACGTATGGACGTAAAAGTCCAAATTTCTAGTCTTGAACACGTGCCAATTCTAACGTTTCGATTCATCGATATCGGAGTATCCTTTCTGTTACGAAACATAAATTTACAGACAGAAGTAAATAACAATTAAAGTATATATTAGTCGTCGACGATAAAAGTTTCACGGTATATGATTTTTCATTTTGAAGTAAAACGTCTATGACAGGAAAGGAAACATCGAATCTCTGTACAAGGATATTTAGTCAAGCACAAGTAAAAGATGAATATTTGAAACAGAAGATCTATCGTAAAAGTAATTCAATTATAGTTTTCTTAATTTATCCTTATTTTGCAGCATCGATTTTCAAATCGAAACATTGGAATAGACGCTTGGAATCGGTACATATTTAATTATAATAAATATCGATATTTAATCATGTATAATTCAGTGTCAGCTCGATATACGTGTACGTAAATATAACAGGACTGTATAGAAAGATTAAGAAATAGAAATTAATTTCGTCACTGAACGTTCGCGAAAGTACGAAATCCTTTTTTCTAACTATGACAATCTTTATCGATTGAAACGGAAATTCACAAATAGTTATTTATAAATTTAGTATTTCCAAATTTTTGATAATCGTTTAGAAATATTCATTATTCCACACCGAAACTGTCTGTACATTTTGAAAAATCTATATTCTCCGCTTGTTAGGTGATACCTGTATAAACTTATTTTCTAGCGACACGCAATTAAAGCTATCGTGAAACGGTTACACGTTAGTATTTTTTATCGAAATGAGTAACGCAGAGCATAGCCAAACGAAATCTGTAGTTTACTTTGCAAACTATCGCGAAGGTGTTGAACGTATATTTGAGTTGTAAAAAATTGTAACTCTAGAGAACCAGTCAAAAGAATTGGTCGAAACGTGCGAATTTCAAATTAATCTCTCTTTGTCGGTAAATATATATGTACTCTGAAAAGTTTGACAAACTTATCAAGTTTTTCTCTAGTATATTACTATATTACTATATTACTAGAAAATAAAAAGGAAAAGGACTATAAGAATAAATGGGAATGACCAAGGAAAGTAACGAATACGGAAGATGAAAATAAATTGGTGTCTTAATGTTAATGTTAACGTTGATTAATACTATTTATAATTGACGGTTTCTATCTTGTTTTTCAGGATCACCGTATTTTCTCTGCAGCCAACTGCCGACTCATTGGCGGTCGAACAAGACGCTTCCGGTAGCCTTCAAAGTTGTCGCCCTAGGCGAGGTCGGCGATGGAACTCTGGTGACAGTGCGAGCGGGCAACGACGAAAACTGTTGCGCCGAACTAAGGAATTCCACCGCCTTGATGAAGAACCAAGTCGCCAAGTTCAACGACCTCAGGTTCGTCGGAAGGAGCGGCAGGGGTGAGTCTCCGAACCCATCGACTACCTTTCTCTCAACCCTTTGCACTCGAGGCCTTTCTTTCTGGTATCTACTAGCAACTCGAGATGCTTTCTTAGTATTCTATTCCCACGAATGCTAAGCTTAATCAGGTCACCTTTACCTTGTCGACAAATATTTTATCGATACTTCGAGTTCCAAAGAAATGAAACCTAAACAAATATTATTGTTGCCCGATTTACTACGTCAAGCCTAGTGGTGACCGAGAGTCACATCTCGAGTGCAAAGGGTTAATCCTTCCTTTTCTGCTCTCGTTGTATTTTCCAACTAGTGAAGGTCAAGTTTTTCGATTCGAACGATAGATGACGAATGTAAACCCACGTACAGCGATTTATTCTAGACGTTTATTCGATTCGAGATTTAACCCTTTGGACTCGGCACCGTTACGGACGTTACCTACCAGCAATTCGTCGCCACTTTTTCGCGAAAACGTACACCTTGGAAACGTGATATCGTACAGTACAATTTTAGAACCAAGTAAGGCATTGTAATGAAATTTGGTTTATATGTATTTGTGGACATTGAAGAACACATATTTACAGAAACAGAAATCAAAATTTAGAGAGGTCTTTACTATTCGACGCTTCAATACGAATTGAGTTTTTGTAAATTTCTTTTCTCAGTTTTCGGATTTCTTTATTATCTTGTCAATTAATTTGTTCCACTAATTCTACACATTGCTCAACGGATTAGAGAAGTGTTATAGTCCGTCGTGAACGCACTTCGTACGTTCTTTTTCGACGTATAAAACCGGTTGATTTATTTATCATGCACCTTGATAATTTTATCATATTTTGATTTGTTTTTTGTGCAATTTTAATAAAAAACTGCAGAAAAATATGTGTTTCTAAAAAAATTTCGGTTGGCATAAGTTCATTTTCCGTAATCGGTAGTACACTTTCATGTCCCCTCAGAAGGGACAACCGAGTGGAAAAGGTTAAATTTATATTTGTGAACGTGCTTTGTCTTTTATTCGTTATTTGAAATTTGGATTTTCCGAAAATTTTGCTCAGCTCAATTTCGAATCGCGCAACTTGTTACGGGATACTATACGATGGATTCGTTCGATTCCTTTCTCTAGAGAATATCGCAGTTGTTCCTGTTTTGAAAACAAAGAGTTTGTAATCCACGATACCGAGTGCTCTTCGATGCGATAAGTATCCCACCTGAGCATTACGCGAACGAGGTAATTTTCATAAAACTCAGTTCGGTCCAAGTTACCGCAGCGTTTCAAGCGATCGATTAGCGATGTTTAGTTTGAGGGTTGCGCATTCCTCGGAGCTAGTTTACTTTGTAAGCGATGCAAAAAGCAGCGAGTAAATTGTCTGCACGGGCGAGGCATGTGCCGTAATTTCGAACCCTCTAAAAGCACGGTTATTGTAATCATCGTCGTCATCAACTGGCCTCTCGATCCCCCCCTCTTCGCTTCGGGCCGCCTCGCTTTTCAACCCTCTGCGTTTGCGAGTTCTCTCGCTTCCGCCCGCGCCACCCCCAGAGTCATTACTCGATGTCCGCCGGTAGCCCCGGCCTAGCATCCGAAACAACTGGCCGTTAATCAGAAATCATCGTCCGTCGGCCAGGGAGAGAGAGGCCAAGTCCCTAAAATCAAGCAAAACCGCCCGACCTTTCCGAATCGTTTCATTTTTCGGTTTAAAAAAAGAGTCCTAGTATCGCGGCCTACTTTTCGAACGCGACGAACGAGCTAGACCGCAAAACTTGCAACTTCAACTCTACGAAAACTTATGGAAGCAACCTTAAGCTTGGTCTTCGGTGCTCGAACACTCTCGCAACCCTCCGACAGTCTCGCGTTCCTCAGGGAACGTAATTTCGTAATTTTTGTTGTCAGAGGAGATAATTTTGTCGCGATGGTGTGCTTGATTTTCGACGAGTCATCAATTTGAAACATATAAATGAAGGAGACGCTTAATTTAGGCTAGATTCTTTATCGCGTCGATAATCGGGATGTAGAAATTAATAATAAACGGAAATTAACACTTTATTTACCGGGAGCCTATTTATAGGCTTTTTAATTGCAGTATTTAGTTATTCGAATTTATTTACTGTGTTTATTGTTTGTCTACGAACAATGTTCAGTGTTTGGTAACAGACTTGGCTTTCAATGTACCTAGTAACAGTATGGAGGAATTATTGTCAGGAATTATTGTCTAGATTGGCATATGCTACTGTAGAAAATTCTTTTTTTAATTAAAATCTACTTTTAAATAGCCCGGTAGGTAAAGTGTTAATAAAATGCCACCAATTTCGCTTAAGCCGTTAATAGTAGAAATGTTAACAATTTTGCATTGTTCGCGATTATAACCGATAGCTTTTTCTATAACACGTTCAAATTTGAACTCGTGTGGAGACTCGTATACAGAAATATTCTTTTGAGAGAAACTACATATATCCTAGATAAAGCATCCAGAGAATTTAATTTAAAGTCTCGTAACTCGTAACATCGTCGAGTTTTCTCAAATTGATCGCAATCTATTTAGGGTAATGTTTTTAAGAGGCGAATCCTTAAGTCTCGTCGCCTTGGTATTTGTTTATTTCATTGTCAGTTCGTCGAGCAGTCGTCGTATAAAACCGCGATCGAAAGTCGTCGAAAAGGCAGATCGAATCTAGTCGCTTAAAAATCAGATCACCTGCACCGTGGCAACCCGGATGACAATCTCGCGAGTGACTGACGATTAGCGGTGGTTTTTAAAGAACCCGTTTTCACGGGGATCAAGTCCGTCGAGTTTCAGAGGGTTCTCGTTGATCGGCGACGATTGCACGGTTGGTCCAGTCGTGCAAATGCATTTTGCACCCCACGCACCCGGAGGATGCATTTATGAATTAACGAGCCGGACTGCTCGCGCACGCGTTCGATAGCTACATCTATGTTTCATTTGATTTGATCATGAAGTGCAGGGTCAGCAGATTCCGTCCTTCCGACATATCCGCCGGATACGCTAACCCGTGGAATCAATTAGCGAAAGAGACATGTCCCTCGTCGAAATCCTTCGATCCCTTTGTCCAGTTTTTTGGGAGTATTTTTTTATTTGTTCTATCTCTCCTCGATAATCCGTAATACTCAATTTCGACGATTGACCAAACCGCCCCTCTCTACGGTTTTGCGCTCAGTACCGGCCGCGAACGGCCTGGCAGCCCTCCTATCACCGAGGTTTTGTTTCCGCGACTTATTAATTTGATTGAATCCCGCCGCGACGCGACGCAACGCATCCGATCCTCGATATATATCGTAGATTCCAAAGACCTGACTAGAGGAAGTTTGGTGATCGACCGAGGATTTTTTGAAAAACTGGATGCCTTCGGTGTCTATCTTTCCGTTCACATAGCGTACGTTGAATTCGAATAGTTCAACAAGTTTAGAATTTTGTATCGGGTATTGAAACAAGCTTCGAGTTTAAGGGCGAAGGGTCAAGTAATATTCAAAATTTTGATCTTTTTTTTTTGTTTAGAAAATTAGTTTACCATTTGGAGAATGTGCTCCGACCATTTCAGCTAAAACTTCGAAGTCTAAGTGTACCTACAGAGTCATTAAAGTGATGCACTCCGAACGGTATACGAAGGCCTATTTTTAGATCCGGAAACTTTAAACGCATTTTTCTCAAAACACAAAATTTCGCGTGCCATGCAATGTAGCTTAGAGATTTCTCAGCCGATTGCTATTAAGCTTGGCACAAAATATTCCTTAAACTATCCTCCTTTGCATCAACCTAAAGGTTTTTATAAAAATTGAAATAAACAATGTTTTTAATCATTCTTTTTATAACAAGATTTTTTTAACGTGCCGTGAAATTTAAAATTTAAAATGTTCTTTTTTTAATCGAGGTTGATGCAAATCGTGTTACTATATTTTAACGAAAAATTGGTGGATTTTTTATTTCAAATAATTAGAGTGATCTGTGCGTTGCATGGCGCATTTTCGAGAAGCCAACTTCAAACAGCTGCTGTTCATTCATTTATGAATATTATTACTTAAAAAAAATTATATAGATTATCTAAATATTACAAAATAACAAGTAATTAGTTGTAAATAAATATATATTACGCTCTTAAAAAATAATTCGCGAAAAAGCGGTTGTTTACTTGACCCTCCCCTCTTAATGAATTCCAGAACGGTAAAATTAGTCTTTGGTATAGTCTGTTATCCTTTTACGTTTCTTTGGTTCGATTTAACGGACAATTAAGGTCTAATTACACATATCCGTAATATGTCAGTTCCGTATCCGTTC